CAAAAATTACAAAGTGAGTGCATAATAATATAATGAGCCCATCAGAAAAATTTCATGGCTAAAGCTATCATCAATTTGCCACAACAATTCCTACAAATATTAATCTACATAATACTAAGCTCTCTAATTTGAATTTATGACCCTATCAAGATTATAGCTAATCGCAAACTAACTACACCAACAAATAAATAGTATTTTTGTGAACCTAACAAATTTTGTTTCACTATTATTGGACATATATAAGATTTACTAGAATTTATCAAAGTTCAAATCAAAACTAAATTGAATAAGCATTTATTAATTCATTGGAAAATGGAAAACCAAATTCCACCACGTGGCCCAGAGCGTGATGGCTCGGCCCTCTCCGGCCAAGAACATCGCCACAAGACGCGATGCACCGTGGCAGGCCCATCTCATGGACGCTTTTACGTCTGCTGCTTTTTGGCTGTTTTACTTAAAATGACCCCGACCTACCGATTAATCACCCTAAGACCCATGTCACTATTCCTATAGTCAGCTACTTTGTAGATAAACCCTCGAAGAACCTCCGTTTCACAACGGCGACGCCTCTAAGACTACACAAGCACCAATACAAGTGGCGCTGGCTCAAGGCGATTCACGCCACCATACCGACCCCACCCCACCCCCAAATGCGAGCCGATGCTCACCTAGGAGTAAACCCAGAGTGATGGGCGGCGACACGGCGAACGGAGATGCTGTCCCAAGCTCCCTCCATGACGGCGGACTCCTCCCTACAATGACGGCCACATTCCCGTGAGCCAAGGCACAGACAACGTGAACGAGCTCAAGGATGGGCATCAACGACTCACCCCGAACCTACCAGACGTGGTGGATTGACCGAAGACGGACCGAGCGAGTTTGGCTGTGTCGCGCATGACGGTGCAAAGGGTGTGCTGGCGGTGGCAAGGCTACGTCAGGGGAGGCTAGGTGATGGTAGCTATTCGGCAAAGGTGTGCAGGGTGATTAGTAGGTGGAGGCGAAGCAAGCGGTGCAAGGAATTGACACGAGCTGCATTGGATATGGAGCTTGCCTTCGACGTAGACCGACACGGTCATATTGACCCCGCGGAACGGCAGCTCCAAATTGGAGCACAGCACGGTGAGGCTCGCTACAAGGTGGGGTCAGGTGGGTGGCTAGCTACTCAGCGGAGCCGAGGACGGGGTTAATTGGATTGAGGTGGCTGCACCAGGCCGAATTGAGAGGTGCGGGACCGACGACCGTGGCGACAGCGGAGCAGGGGAATGGCCGGCATGGCTTGGCGTGGCGTTGCCATGGTGGAACGCGACTGTCAATCGGTGCATAAACATGTATGGCCATGAGGCCATGGGGAAACGACCAGCGTGCACAGGACGGTGGCCGCACGGCCATAAACCGCAAGCCATAGTGGCATGGCGTCGGCCAGCGCAGCGTTGCATCGAGCACGATGTGATGGTAAGGGCAGGCGACAAACCCATGCGTGGCAAGGCAACGTGTGGGCAGAGCCAAGCGTGTCCACGAGTGCACGGTACTACCAGGCGAGTGTGAGGCAGCAGCATGGCTAGGCGGACGTGACGACGGTGGTAGAGCGCACGCAGGCGACCCCGCACAAGCGGCCACGGCCAGCAGCAGCGGGATGTCGCGACGCGCGGAGTCAGCGACACGGCGAAGTGGCGGCAGTGGCTAGCTAGGGCAGCAGGCCCGCGGCGACGGCAATGGTGGCCAAGTGGCTAGACCCGCCAGTGCGGCGTGCATGCATGCGCGAGCATGAGCGCGAGCCAGGGCATGGCAACGGGTGATAGTGGCCCACAGCGTGGAGCCAGCGGTAGGCCCAGCCAGCGTGGTGGCGCACGTACGGCATGCGAGCGCGTGCGCATCGACGGCTGGTGCGGTAGCGCCGAGGGCCAAGCACGGTGACCGCCCCCAGACGTACAAACCGTGTCGTGCACGCATTTTAAGTGGTCCTAAAACCCAACTCGATGATCCAATTGCTAAACCAGTTTGTCTACACTCAAGAGGGTATGTTAAACTACTGAAACAAGCCCTAATACCCTACCATTGCTTAACCCAAATTTCCTACAAAAATTGTTGAACTTAGCTTCGTCGAACCATTTTCCAACTTACGAAAATTGACTAAGTTCTTATCGGTTTTGCGTCGAATTCGATTTCCAAGCTATCAAGTATGCTAGCTAGCGAATCCCATTCTCGACCGCAAGTATTTCACCGCCACCTACGAAGTTTGTACCACAAACTTTATTCAAGTGCCGGGTATGCGTTCTATAGCATTTTCATTCAATAAAAATTCATTTAGAACCCTAAGTGATATAACGCAACATGAAACATAACATTCGTTTCACGTTTTCGATGAATGTTTTGAGCCACAGAAATTGATTTACACTCTATAATTCATACACTATCATATGAACATGATGCACATGCAATGTTTTAGCAAAAATCGTACAATGTAACACCGAGAGTGTTACATCTGCCTCGGTGGGCGCTGCAGCCGCGGGGCCCGTCTCGCCCGACCCCCGAGGGTTGGTTCTGCCTCGACTGACTCCCGAGGGATGGCTCCATCTCATTCGACCCCCCGAGGGGTGGCTTTGCCTCGCCCAACGTCCAAGGGCTGGCTCTACCCCGCCTGACGTCTGAGGACTGGCTCTGCCTCGCCCGACGTCTAAGGGCTGGCTCCACCTCACCCGATGTCTGAGGGCTAGCTTTGCCTCACCCGACGTCTGAGGGCTGGGTCCGCCACACTCGACGTCTGAGGGCTGGCTTCGCCTCGCCCGACGTCTGTGCACAACTCCTTTATAACGACGCGCGTAGATAAGGCAGGGCACTCAAGTCAACCGTAATACCGAGGACCGTACCCTGCACACCTACAGGAAAGTACCATCAGGCCATGCTAGAAGGGTGCTTCACGACCTTCTAGGCATGTCAGAGCCCAAACAGTATTATAGGCGTCGACATTTGCCTTACAGTGTTGTGGGCACCGTCATTTGCCCTCGGGCGCGGATCCTTACGGAAGCTCATGATAATCACTACGGTCCAGAAGAAAACTTGCATCATCCACAGTAACGAACATACGGTCACTATGCTACCTGCTTCCTGTATGGCCGTTGATCAGCACCCTGGTCCACCGCGCCGCCCGCCAGGACGGTATGGGATGTGACAACTCAGTGACAATGCCAGGACATGGCATCGTCAGTGGACAGACACCCAGCGCGGCCCTGTCAGGGTCAGCGGACATGCGCCCGGCGTGGAGCTATCCCTGTCACAGCCTGCCATGTCAGCAGGGCCCATATAGAGGAAAAGGAAGACCCGACGTCCTTGAAGGACTTCTTTTGCCTCTTGCTTTCCTCTTTTCTCCCATATATAATCCCAGCTCTCCTTTGGCCTATAAAAGGGAAAGCAGGACACCTCTCTAAGGGGATCGATTCAAGACATCACAGCAGAACCACTAGCATCGAACTTCGAACACATAGCTGAGCAGCAACCGAGCTCTCTGCATCTATTCGATCTTTCCATCAAAGACTTAGGACATGTCTCTCTTTCACCTGTTTGTAACTCCTACTATGAATTTTTTAGTGCTAATAACACGAGCAGCAGCCATGAACTAGACGTATGGACATTCTGCCCGAACTAGTATAAACATTCTGTCTTTTTAGCACACTATCCGAGTCAGACGCGCAATGACACAAATTTACTCATTGGTGTTTATTCGAAACACCGACAACCATCTCCCTAGATTTTTAAAACCGTTCATTTTACCTCCCTGACACGGTCATTGGTGATTTTCAAAGGCAGTTTTATCTTTTTCTTTTTAAAATATTTTGGCTGAATTTTTAAAAAATCATAGTAAATCATAGAAATGTCATAAAATGGAAAATCTAATTTTCTTGGACTCCACATGAGTATGTCTACACAGTGAATATATAATATGGTATGTTTTAGTACAAATCTTTTGTTGTACCATTAGATCTACGTTTTTCTGTAATTAATTCAAAGCTGCAGTTTCTGTGGTCTAATTATGATGATTTTTTATGGTGGGCTAACTAATTATATGATTGAACTGTAGTAAAAATTTTATGCTCATTGGATCATGTATAGCTGAGTTATAGATTTATTTAGTTTTATGCTTATTAAATAGTTTTAAAATAGTTAAAAGTATGTAAAAATATAAACGAGTATGAATTTTTTACTACAGTTAAAGTATATAATAATTAGACCGTCATAAAAATTTCAACACAATTGAACCATAAAAACTACAACTATGAATTAATTACAAAAAAGCATAGATCTAAAGCTACAGCAAAAACTTTGTACTAGAGCATTTCATATATATTCACTGTGTAGATTTACTCATGTGGAGTCCAAAAAAATTAGATTTTCCATGTTATGATTTTTCTGTGATTTATTATAATTTTTTAAATATTCAGTCAAAATAAATAAAAAAGAAAAAGACAAAATCATCTTTGAAAACCACGTATAACCGGGCTAAGGAGGTAAAATGAATGGCTTTAAAAGTTAAAGGAGGTGGTTTACCCGGTTTTTAAGTTTAGAGAGGAAAACTAAACACGGAGGATATTCAAAATGGACTTCTAGGATATTCAAAATGGACTTCTTCCCTCTGCATTCTGGAAAGTGAGCCGTGGTAGTCCTACGTATCCCGGTCGTTGGACGTGTGCGTTATAGGACCTCCACCCGCTGCGCCCATGTGAGAGTGGGAGCATGAGAGGCGGGCCGAGCTTGGGTATGGGCTTTGGGCTCCGCCATGGGTGGCAGCCTGGCAGGGGAGGGAGATGATGGCGGAGGCCCAGACCCAGGAGACGAGGCCGCCAGGCGAGCACGGGAGCGAACGGTGACACTGTGACAGGATAAGTTGTACTGGCCGGAAACGCATCTGCAGGAGACAGGCGAGTTCAAAAAATTTCCATCATCCGTTTCAGATTCTCAGCCCAACTGAAACCGAGGGACAAGTCCTGCGCGTGCGCGATCCATCCATGGCGCAGACGCCGGAAGGCACCACTGCTCCCGTCCAGGCTCCGGACAGGGTGCCGCGGCCCATCTCGGAGCTGCCCGCCGGCTACGTCTTCCATCCCAAGGCCCGCAGCCTCCTCAAGAGCTACCTCATCACCAGGGCGCGCGGTGGCGCCATCAAGGACCCTTACGGGGACACTGTCGCCGACGGCGTCGACGTCTACGCCGTGCGGCCGGAGGCGCTCCCGTTCCCGCGCCGCAACAGGGGCCTGCACGGCCATGTCTGGGCCTACTTCTTCACCACGCGGCCCGCGGGCGCGGCAGGAATCGGCGAGGCGGAGGGCGGCGGCGAGGACGACGACTTCCGGGACGTGGCGGCGGGCGGGTGCTGGCGGCGGTACGGCGGCGGCGACAAGGAGTACGTCGGCCGCGACGGGGAGGTCTACGCGTTCCGCCGCAGGTTCGCGTTCCACGAGGCCGGGGCCCGCGGCAAGAAGACGGTGTGGAGGATGAAGGAGTTCCGCCTCAAGGAGACCGCGCCCCGCTTCCGCGGTGTCGTGTTCCACCCCAACGCCAAGGGCCTCGTGATCTTGAAGGTCTGGAACCAGGTGATCCCAGAGGAGGAGCCGGCGGTGGACTACTACGGCAACGGCGGCATGAACGACGAGGAGGAGGATGAGGAGGAGATTGGACCGGTCGTGATCACGGTGGGAGATCCAGCCGCCGCCCCCAATGCATGACAGGTGTGCATCACGCCGTAGCGACAAGCCCTGGCGGGCAGTTGCACGCGGTTCAGATTTCAGAATTGATGCGGATAGAGACTAGCAGACTCTGTTTTTGTAGATTCTTCGTGTTCCTTAGATGGGTTGGCTTTTTCAGGGTGGCTACCAAGAAAAAGTTGAGTAATCCTTTCTTACCACATTCCACCATCCTTCATGTTGCGTCCAAATGGCTCTTTTGTTCAGCGACTAGTCATATGAACATTTGAAGACAGAATTGGGAATCTGAACACACTATAAATGAATAGTACCGCAGGAAATAACACTTTTCTTGCGCTTTAACACATACGCTATCCTAAAAGTTAAATCTGAGTCATCAGTATAATTTGTTCTCGTGTTCTGAATCTGCCATCCGGGTGCAACTTTGTGGCCTATACTCTCCAGAGGTACGTACGCCCTGTTCACTTGGCTTATAAGCCGTACTTTTTCAACCAACGAACAGTATTTTTCAATCACAACAAATCAGGCAACGGTACTTTCAGCCATGGCTTATCAGCTAAACATTTACACGTAAAAATAAATGCAGACACTTCCCGCCTGGTGCAAGCGATAGAGTCTTATCGCCTGTGACCGGAAGATCCCGGGTTCAAGTCCCGCACAGAGCGGGAGCTCTCTGCATTGGATACGCCCTTTAGTTTTGCGAAGAGAAAACAGTAATGCCATTATATTTCAGGGAATAACAGTATGATTAGACAGCCACACAGGTAACCTCTCAAACAAAAAATCAAGTCAAATATGTACAGACAAAACTGCAGATAGCCCTTCAAGATTTTTGGATACATAACAAACAGCTAGACATTAGTAGTCTGCAACAAGTTCTTCTTTTCTAATTTCTGAAATTGCATATATTATCTAGGAATGAATTATTTACCAAGAACCTGTATAATCTCATTCTAAACTTCAGAAAGAGTTACTCCTGCTGGTTGGATCAAAGAGCAAGATTGACCCATCCTGTTAAGAACTACTTCTGCAAGCCTCATCGATCTCCACTTCATCGAGGAAGTCCAAGGAACCGTAATCATTTTCTGCCTCCAACCGAATACCAGCAGATAGCTCCATTTTTCCTAGGGATTCAAGACCTTTGATCAATGTTGTATATGTTATCCTGTCAGGATCACTGTCCCACAATTTCATTAGACGGAAACAATCCGTTGTTAATTGTGTGAACCCAGAATCTAGGAGTGTCTTCAGAAGCAGGTTGAAACCTTCAGTGTCAGGCTCCAATTGTTCCCTCTTCAGATATGAACAGGCTTTGTCGACCTCAATCCGCAGACCTTTGCTTGCAAGCACTGTAACAAGATCTACGTACCATAGCAACCTAGGCTTGTACCAATGCTCCTTCCGAATCTCCTCAAAGACCTATACAGTTTCAACTTGTCAGCAGTAGCACCACCTAGTTATCCTAATATGCATATAACAGCAGAGTAAGAACTAGGAAGAGTGGAAATAGATGACAAAACTTACAAGGAATATGTACCCAGTATCCCCCCAAAAGGCCATTTACAGAAGCTAACATTAAAAAGGTATAACTACAAGAAATTAGAAGTTTATAAATGGGTAGTAAATTGGTTACTTAAACTAGAAATAGCACATCTATATTATGGAAATGAGGTTTATAAACAACTATAGTGGGTACACATCTTTTTGGAGTAGTTTACAAAGGCTGACAGGTTTTAGCTAAACCATTGTTCTCAAATTTGTTATCTCCTTGAGCATTAAGACATGCTTCAGTATCCTATGAGGGCTGCAGGTGTTAAAAAATGGTGTCATTTGGAGAGTCCGCAGTGGCACGAATATAAGGATTTGGTCTGATCCTTGGCTACCAAGGGACTGGTCGCACAAACCAGTTACACCAAGAGGAAGAAATCTCTTAACCCGAGTGGATGAGCTAATTGACCCAACAACCGGGGAATGGGATCGAAATTTAATTGCACAGACCTTCTGGCCTGAAGACACTGAGGCAAATTCTCTCCATTCCAGTCCACATGGACGTGGATGACGTCTTGGCATGGCACTATGATAGTAAGGGCTTGTTCTCTGTCCGATCAGCTTACAAGGTTCAGAGAGCACATATGCAGCGAACCAGTTGGAGTGGGGACGCTAGTTCAGTACAAGGAAGGATAGCGGACGAGAATTTCTGGAAGCAACTGTGGGCGACTAAATGTCCAGAAAAGATCAAGCATTTTTTATGGAGAATGGCATACAACACTCTTGCCATGCAAGCCACTCTCGTCAGGAGAGGGGTCAAAAGGAGGACACGAATTGTGTAATATGCAACAGACATACTGAAGTTGGTGATCATTTGTTCTTCAAGTGCAAATATGTCTAAAGGCTCTGGCAAGAACTTGGAATGGAGGGTAGCAGGACCTCTCTTGCAGAACAGATATCTCCAAAACATGTTCTAGAATATATCTGGAGGCTAAAGGAGAGGGACCAAGTGCTCATTGTCAATTTGCTAGGGCATTGGTGGACTGGAAGAAATAGAGTCAGAGAGGGAGAAAGGAGACGCGAACCTAGTGAGGCAGCGTATATTGTCTCTTTGCAAACTGATGAGTTCTTGAGCATCATGGAGAAAGAATTAAAAAGAACACGAAGGCTGAAACAGACATGGGAAAACTGGGTTTGGACACTGTCAAGATAAATACAGATGGGGCATATGACTGCAATTCCGGAATGGGAGGATTGGGCTTTGTGATACAGAACTCTAACGGGGAGGTTGTCCAGGCAGGTGCGGGTAAACTGAGACACCTCAAGGACGTTTCAAATCTCAGAAAAAAAGGGAAAGGGGGGGGGGGTGAGGGAGGGGTGGACGCTTTTCATGCTGAACTGCTGGCATGTATGGCCGGAGTCAAAGGCAGCTAGTCACTTGTGGATGCACGAGGTTATTGTAGACACTGACTGCACCATGGTCAAATTAGCCCTGGATGGCACAAGCCACAACCCCATGACAGGAATTAGGGTACCCCAGGAATTAATGATTTTACAAATTAGATGCTAATCTAGGTATTCACAGGCAATTGATCATCAGAATATGGCGAAGAATTTGCCTTGCAACGCCCAAATAGCCACCAAGGCCATTCCCACTCGGTTCGTGCGGTTGTCGGTGAAGCAGCAAGTGGACATAGCACCGCGTACCTGGAGGGCCAGGAGGGCCTCGCCCTGCGCGGCGAGCTCGCGGAAGACCGCGACCATGTCCGCCTTGAGGAGGCGCCGCAGCTTGGGCTCCACCGCGGCAGCGGCCGACGCGGTGTGGACGCCGCGGAGCGCGGCGCGCTTGAGGGACTGCACAGCCTGGATGGCCTCGGTGCTGAGGTACCGCCCTCGCTGCGTCGGCTTCCGGTTCTTGCTCCGGTCCCGCATCGTGATGGTCCTGGCGGCCGCGCTCCTCCGTCGAGCGCCGCTGCGGGTGGCGGGTAGGCGGAATGGTGAGCAGGCAGGTGAGGAGAGCATCGCCGTACAGTTCTGCCTCTACCTCTGCTCGAGTTGGATAGTGGTGTCGGGAGTAGGGTTGCAGTTCCGGATGGGTTCAGAATATCAGGGTTCAGAAACAAAAATACATGCTCAGGGCATGAAAGGCAAGCATTGCACATCTTTCAGTTTGCAAGCTCTCAAGCCAGAGCACGAAGGCAAATTTGACACCACACAGGATGCACTTACTAACAAATTGGCATCGTTTGACAGAAGTAGATAATGCTATCACCAAGTAAAGCATAAATGGCCTCACTCCAGAACTATCTTATCCACCCCCCACACACACACACACACACACACACACACACAAAAAAAACCAATACAAGCCAAGCAAACTTTGAAGATCAGTTAGCCCAAACAAACTTTAATAAGTGAAGCTAGATGCAATGGATTCAAATACATTTTACTACTTGACCAGCGCATCCAGAGTTTTGCTCAAACATCAAATTTCAAATGCTACGGTTCAAAAAAAAAATCAGTTGTTTACTACTTGCTTCACATTGATTTATGAAATCATGGGTAATATGTGAACTAAAATCACATCGTCAAAACTGTTTGCAAAAATTAATATAATTACTTCTTGAGCATCATCTGCAGCTGCAGGATAACCCTTTTTGTTTTGGCTAGAATAAGCTTTATCTGTGAGAGTAAAAATCATTGGACATCACACGAGTACCACAGCTTCTGAAATTTTCTACTACTTGATTATGAGTTTTTTACTGTTGCACATTACCAAGAAATAAAATAGCGTTGGTTCTACTGGTGTGAATTTGTCAAATTTACAGTTACGGACTGGGTTTTGCACCAAATTTAATACTACTGCTTGCCAGAATAAAACACATGGGAGAGGGGCTGGCCGCGCCGGTGTTGAGCATTATTCAATGTAAAGTGCGCCAAACAGAGGAATCATCTTGTTTGTGTTTCAAAGTACAAACGGATTATCACTGCAAGTACTTGGCTTTAGTTTTATGTCTTGCCATCAACCATGCTCTCGATCAATCCTCCGCCATGATTTACATAGCATACTTATACTTATGTTCAGTTTCCTAAGATCCTTGATACCAAGCCCACAAAGCTCCTTCTGGCTTTATCCAAGTTTTTAATCACCGTTTTGTATAATCGATAAAAATTGGACATATTATAGATGTGGTACTGACATTGTGCTACCTTTCTAAATATCCATCCTTTTTGTAGTTTTCTCTTTAAACGGGGCCAGTCTATAACATGTAATTTACTGGGGCTCACAAGTCACAAATACTGTAGAAAAGGTCATGTCTGACAATTATAGATCTGACACCATTTATCAGTATCATTAACCATTAGAACTCTGCTTTTCCGTCAATATAGCTTATTTTTCAAAAATACTATCATCGATTTTCCTGCTGGGGAAGTCGATGAGAGGATTTTCAAAGTAAAGTTTAGGGTTGATAGAGTTTGACTGATCAATTTGATTTATCCCGAAAGGACGTATCAAATGACATTAATCTGGT